GCATCATCTGGTGGGACACAGCCTGCTCTAGCCACTGCTCCTGGCTCTGCTCCCCAGATTTTCCACCAAGCACAAGTTTCCACGTGCTAGGGTCACCTACACCTTTTGGTCAGACCAGCTCTCTCTTCCTCCTCTACCCCCATGATGGAACAATGAAAACCACCATAACATTTTTTGTCACCCCACAGAGTTTTGCTGATCTACACAGGTGAAAATCTGACCTGCTGTTCAGATACTTGTTGGCAAACCCACCTTGATAATTTTTACTTTGTTTCATTTAACACATCAAATTGAGGCTAAGGTTTTCACCCTTCTGTTTTTTTAGCAGTTACTGATTTTACCATGTTTGCTTTGGCAGTTAAAAAAAAAATCAACAGAAGGATTACATTTCAGTGGCACAACACCCTAATCCTCAGGCAAATGATTTGTCCAAGCTTAATATGAAGTACTTAGGATGTATTGTTTGATGTAAACACTAGTTCTAATAAAATGGTGCCTGAGGTACAGTTCTTCAACTTGTAATACCCTATTTGCGTTGGCCTGTACACATTGGATTTGAAACCATTATGATAAAATATATCCTTCTTTAGCCTGATAAAAAAATAATTAAAAAGAATCCACAGAAATCCACAGCATAGGGCCTGCTTTCCAAGGAAGGACACTGAATGTAGCAAGGAGCCTCCTGCAGGTACTGGAAGCGACGTCAAACAGAATTATGCCCCATTGTTGATGGGGTGCATCTAGGGCAGAAATCAGCTCTCTATGTATGGGCAGTGCATGAGTCTTGGTCTGTTCTGGAGCATCCTAGGGAAAGAGGCTCCCTTACCCCATAGCTCCATACTGATATTCCGGAGTCCCTCTGAAGTTCCTCCTGGCTTTTCCCTGACTCATTCCATCTTTTTGAAATTATTTGTGTACGGTAATATAAATATACTCCAGGTGTGACCAAGGGTCTTACTGTAATGCTAGACTTTAAAGAATCTATCAGAAGGACTGGCTGACTAACTAGCGAGGTGCTGAGGGCATGGGGGCAGGAACACAGCGCAGCAGGCATCCCTGTGCAAGTCAAGCCCCATCGAAGAGCAGCTTAGCACCAGCAGGCAAAAATGTTTGGCATGTCAAGACGTTACATTTGTCTTACCACTCCATTAATACACCAGTGACAGAAAGTCACTTCCAGTGACCTCCCCTGCTGCTTGTACTACCTGGGTTCCCATGAAAGGTTTTCACTGAAATATGAGGAAACCCTTGGTTTTGGCAGCATCATAGCAGAATGTGGCTCCGCTGCCACCTGAATGTCTTTTGCAAAGGGGTAAATACCAACATTTTGGATAGGCTTCCTTCTCATCCAGCTATGGCTTGTTCAAAGTACTGCTGTCTTTATGCCAGCCTTTAAAACCCTTTTACTAAGCAGGCTAACAAGGGTAACGACAAACACGGCGAGGATACGCCTTTCAGGGAGATTCCCTGTAGCAGAAATGAAGATTGAGAGAAAAATTATTTAAAGAAAAGAGGGGGTGAGGAAATGCCTAGAGACTTACCCCTGTACAAGGAGGGAAAAAAAATTTACAGGCATGGATGTTAGGAACCAAGTACACTTATTAACAGCTTATACAACATGTCAAGTTGCTCCCTATTAAACAGCAAAGGTGGAGAATGCTTTAGTCAGGAGAATATGGAAGTGGGCTTCACATGACTCTGTGGCAGAGATTCCCAAGCTATACAAAGGTCCTTCTGCAAATTCTGGGCTTTCTTCTCCCTTGCCAGAGGACAGCTCTGCTCAGCTGTGGGAGTCTCCCCTGCTTGTGCTCCACTCCTGTCCCTGCTCCCACTGCCTGTGGGTTGTCCATGACCAGAGCTAGCCTGGATGTGGAGAGTTGTTTTTGTGCCTCTTGGAGAAACATTTTCCTTCACTGTAATTGTGGTGGGTTGACTGTGGCTGGATGCCAGGTTCCTGCCAAGACAGTCTATTACTCCCCTCCTCAGCTGGACAGCGGAGAGAAAATACAACTAAAGGCTTGTGGATCAAGATAAGGGCAGGGAGAGATCAGTCACCAGTTACTGTCACAGGTAAAACAGACTCGACTTGGGGAAAATGAATTTAATGTAATTTAATTTTTTACCAATCAAATCAGAGTAGGATAATGAGAAAATACAAACACATCTTAAAACACCCATCCTCCCTTCTTTCCAAACTTAACTTCACTCCCGATTTTCTCTACCTTTCCCCACAGCAGCACAGGAGGATGGGAAGTGGGGGCTGCAGTCACTTCATCTCATGCCCTCTCTGCCACTCCTTCTTCCTCAGGGGTATGACTTCTTTTACTCTTCCCTTGTTGCTGCGTGGAGTCCCTCCCCCAAACCTTGCCATGGAAACCCAATACAGCAATCTTAAAGCATCCAGCAAGCAGGACCTTTTGACACTGACAGAATAGCTCCTCCCTCTCTGGATCTGCCTTGACCAAGCAAAAAGACACCTGAGGTATCCCAAAGGAGGGTGCTGAGACAAGTCATGGAGGCTGGGAGGGAACAGCTTAATCTGCAGATGTTACAATGCCACTGGGAAGCAACTACACTGGTTCCCAAGTAAGCTTTCCATCTGCAATGCAGTACATTTAAGGATAGAGATGTTACTCTCACTTTAATAATGATTACCCTGCACCACAGGGCCAACAGACAGCTTTACTGCTTTGGGCTCCCCTTTTCACGTCAACTTTTCTCATGTTTCTAGTATTACGCAGTGAGCAACATGGGACCCACATTTTTGCTCATCAGGGAGTGGGTTGTGCCTTTCAGCCTAGGAAAACAAAGCTGAGAGTTATTCAACCTGCCTTGCAGTCACCAGTGGTGACAGATAGGGGGACTTCACTTGGCACAAAGGTTTCAGGTTTGATGGGAGACGAGTGGTACCACACACCTTTGAAACATTTCTGCTTTCCCCAAGAAGATACCTAAGCATTAGTTTTGCATCGAGAAAGTGTTCGAGTTTCTTGCTCAGCACCTGGAGTTAGCTCGTGGGACAATCTCATGAAAGTTGAGCACGATCAGATATTCCAGTGTCCTGGGCTCAGCATCTACTGTCACATGCTGGGTAACTTAGTTGAGACTTTGGATAGAGCACCATAACAAACGTCACCCGATGCTTCTGGGTGTCTCTGCACCCCATCACACATTAAAAGAGGCCTGACTTGTCCTACTTGTCCTAAATAAAGTGTGTGGGCTGACACAGTTGAAAAAAAGAAAAGGTGAAAGAGTTAACCTCTTCCCCTGCTTTAGGTTTACCCTTGTGGAAGCTGAGCAGATTTCTATCCAGGAGGGGCTGGTGAGATGAAAAATGCAAACAGCATTCATTCTTTCTCCCCTCTCTGGAGCTTGGTTTCACAATCAGCCTTCTAGTGAGAATAGAAAAGGGTGCAAAAATTCAAGAAGCAACAACAGACAATGGACTTCTATCCTTTCTTTGGAAGACACCACTAAAGTCATGACTGGTATCTAATGCTGCCCTTGGCTTCCAATTTTGCCTTTTGCAGCTACTCATAAGCAAGCCTTTTTAGAGGTGCCTTTTCCAATCATGTGATGTGACCAATTATTTGCTGGTTTTGGGAGTAATCTGTCAGAGTGTTTTGGGAAGGTAACCAGGCATCAGGATTTGCTAAACTGTCATGAGACACCCTATCTCAGCTCCATCAAGGTGATGGGAGCTGTTATTGCTGCTGGTCGAGGTCACCATACTCACAGAGCCTGGGCACTCTGGGAATGAACCTGGGCAACACCACCAGGCTTAGCTCCAAAACCCTGCCTAGGTGGCATGGGGAACTGCACGCACTGATGGCCATGCAGATGTTGCCACCACTTTTTGCTTCAGCCCCATGTGCCTATGGCTGGAGGCTGCACTCCTGAGCCTATTGCCAAGCTCGCCGTGACCTGGGGTGCATTGCAATCTCTGTATATCCGCTTAGTCATTTTTAAAACCAGCACAGCAATGCTTAGCCCCAAAACTAGTAGGGAATTACACACGGAGGCTGATCAGATAAAAACTGTGCCTTCCACTCCGGGAGAAGGGGCTGAAATTACACCATGTAATTATAATGTAGTTAACCTGTGACTGCGCTTTATATATTTTTTTTCCCTCCAAGCCAATTATTACTAAAAGTGTAAACTCAGTATGACTGAGTTGTTTATCACTGCCCTGAGAGGAAATCATCATCTGCCTTCACACTTCTCAGAAGCCAGGTACACTACTTACCTTATATTTACACTGTCATTAAGATAACATTATTATTAATTCTGCTATTTTTCCGGTGTTAGCGCAATACTGTTGGTATTAATAACACTTAATTCAGGTCCTCAGTTCCTTAGGAGGAATCACAGCCCATGGTTATTATTAAGCTTGCAACTGGGTAATAAGCAGTTTGTCCCAGCAAAATTACGGTCTTTACAGCGAGGTGGCAATAGACCATGGGAGCCTCACCTGCTTGATGAAGCCAGTTGAAAAATATTCCCCTGGGCTCATTGAACTTTGGATCTGTCTCCCTGCAACTGAAAAGAGCCAGGAGGAAGCACGGGATCTACAGCCTTGCTAAAACCCAGGTTTCAGCAGCCCCAGATGGGGTTGCTGGTGTCACTTGTGATTGTGGCCAACATGCCTCAGCAATGGTGAGTCCTAAAAAGGGGCTGACAACAAGGACAGGAGACTTTGCTATCGCTAACTTATGCAATGGAGGGTAGGAAAGGGGAAGGCAAAGAGTCCTGTGAGGGTTGGTGTTGGCTCCTGAAAGGCCACCTCTCGCATAGAGAGTGATGGGCTGATCACTGTCATATGCAGTGCCTGTGCATGTTCACATGAAGCAGCAGACACTGTAGTGGAAAACTAGGGTTGAGCACTGGGAATGAAAGTAAGGTTTGATCCTTCAAAATATTTCTCACGGATTATCCTTTGAATCTGCTCTTTGACAGATTATCTTATCTGCAGAAGTGTAAACTGTACTCTGGTCCTGCAGGAGTTTCTGTGGAGTACGTTTCTCCTGGATGACTTAAAAAAGTGACAGCAGATTACTGTGGATGTTCTAAGTTCCCAAGCAAGGATACCAGCATGACTTCAACTGGGACACACTGGGAGGTATGGCTGTACATTCACAAATCTTACATTGTAATTTATCCCCCAGGTGACCTGAGGAAAGCAGCCTTCACCCCACTCCTCTTTTCCTTGAACTCCTTAGTCTGCTGCCAGCTAAGTAATCTACATGACAGAAGTTTATGAAAACATTATTTTTTGCTAATTCATATTTTTTCAGCCCTTCTAAACATAACAATTTTCCCCCAAACAACTCCACTTGAAATCTGCAAAAATCAGAGATACCCTTTTCTCTATGCCATCTGTTATGAAAACACATTTTTCTCTTCCATGCTGTTAAAAACCTATCTATTTTGCTCTCAGTAGCTACATGCTTGCTGGTGCTTCCTTGTACAGAAATCAGCTTTGTCTTCACAGCCATTTTCACTCCAAAATGCACAGGCTGAGCACAGGGTTCTGTGCAGGGTTTATTAACAAAATGCCCCTCTCCCACCACTGTGCTGACTCCTTGCAAACCCAGCAGTGGGCAGAATGTGATCAAGGAAGATGCACTGATAGATGCATCTTACCAGAGAGCTTCCACATAATTAACAACATTTGCAGCCTTCAATTGGAGCGCACTTTAGATGAAGCGTATGTTTATTGCTTTCTGCTCTTCACGTGAATTCAGTTGATCCTAACTGGGCTGACTTTCAGTATTACAATGTCACCAATGATAAAAAATAAAATCGAGCAGGTTTTTTTGTTGCATAAGAAGTGAGGATGGGATTTTTTTGGTTTTTTTTTTAATGTGTATGGAGAAAGAACATTCTGTGTCATGCAGTTATCAGCCAAATCGCCCCATTTCTTTGTTCATGGCACAGCTTTTGTGTGCCTAAACCTCTGGCAGCACAGGAAATAGAGGTCAAATCTTTGTCCTCTGACTCAGGTTGCAAGCTGCGACTTCCACAGGTAGCCGCCTTGCAGCCAAAAAATGTTACTTATGTGAGTAGTTCGCCTTCATGCTGTGGGCGGGGGAGGCACCAGCAACCTGGCCTACTGCAAATGTCACCAGCCAGCCTTGTCACTATTGGGGTTGGAGAGATCCAGCAGCTGGCTCAGCCTCTGCTAGTATCCACTGGTTACGCTGAGCTCATTAAGAAAATATTGATCGCGCAGAAGTTTATGCAATGTTTGATCCAGCTCGCCTCCTTTGAAGCCGCACAGATCTCGAACAGATTGCTAGAGCAGGAGAGGGGAGCATGCGCCTGCACATGAGCGAGAGAGAGAGAGGGAAATCAAACGCTCTGAATTGAGAAATCTTGCCAAAAAAATCTCTGGGCCGGGTTTGGGCTGAGAATGCGAGCATCAGATAAAAATAACAAGTCACACGGCAGAGGACAGAGCGCAGGGCTCCTCTCTCGCCCGGGGCCGCGCATGCCCCCTGAGCAGCGCCGAGGCGAGGGGAGCCCGGCAGCCTCCGCCAGCAGAAGGCTGGAGTAAAGAAGGGCTGTGTTTGATGTATGAGCTTTGGCTTGCCATTGTGAGTCACCCCAGAACTAGCTGTAGGCAAAACAAAAATCTTTTGTGATTAATTAGAAAAATCGGACAATTATGAATTGACTGCACACAGCCAGCGTACGGTAATATAAATAGTAATGAAGCCGGCTGGATGTGATGAACACACTGTGTTTATGTGCAGTCGCAGAAAAAAAAGGATCCGATTTAGGTGGTGTCAGTTTAAATAACGTAATTTCTGCTCTCTGACTCTTTGTTCAGTCTTTACCCAGGATTAGATCTGAAACTTTAAAACTGAGTTTTAGTTGACTTATCTAAATGTCTGGTTGTTCTTTTGATGTCTGCCCAAAACATATGCTTCTCTTCAATGACCATCTAAAATTATTATGTTACAATGAATGAATAAGTCTAGCAGTGCTGTAAGTGGCGTGCAGCTATTGTTGCTCCTTTGTGTTTGTCAGTAGCCCTTGCACAGGGTCTGACAGGCTCCATCCACGCACAGGGATAGGAAGAGTATTTGAATTCCCCAGGTTCTTGGTAGTTTTCAGAGAGGGAAGGGGGTAAGAAAAAAGGTCTGTAGGCGCGTCTCTGCAGCACAATGGATAATTACATTCACAATGTTCTACATCACTCTTCATTTAGCTGCCACCTAATTAAAAAAATATATCGGAGATGAGATGACGTCAGTGCTAGAATTTGCCGCCGATGTCGGGGACACGGAACGCGTAACTGACAGGACTGAGAGCCGTGGGTGTGATTAGGAGCGTCTTGCCCGCTGCTCTCCTTCGGCCCTGCGAAAACCAATTCTTACCTGCCTGTAGGTGGATGAGCAGGTTGCTGTGCCGTCACACGTCGTGACAATCACGACAGAGGGTTAAATCGCAGCCCGTGCCCGCTTCTCCCTCTCCGAGGGAGGCGCCCATCGTCCTCCCGACCCCGGCGGGGCTTTGTTCCCCCACGGGCGATTACCGGTCCCTCCGGAGGATGCTGCCTGCGCCCGCCGCCCTCCCACCCGGACCTGCTTTGTTCTCCGGGGCCGCCGGCGGGGGCCGCCAGCGCCGCCGCCCGCCCTCGGGAAGGAGCCTGTCCCGGTCGCGACATGCTCTCGACCCCCGCCGCCCCCCCGGCACGGCCCACCCGCCGGCTCGGGAGCCCCCGCAGGGAGCGACCTGCCTAAGGAGGGGTGTTGGCGGGAGCTTCTTAACCCCTCTCTGAAAGGAGAAATGAAGGGACGGAAGGGAGCATCCAGACGGGGTTCCTAACACGATCCGGAGCACCAGCACACGCACACGCCCCCCGTTTGCGACCTTCACACCTGAAATTTTTTGGCCGTTTCACTTCACGGGAAAAAATTTAATCCGAGGATTTCATATATCCAGGCTAAAAGCATGTCTTGTGGTTTTTATATTACTTTTTAAGTGCGCGGGAGTACCAGTCGGCGTGTTTCTGGAGGGGGCTCCTAGCGGAGAAATGCTCCACTCTTCTAACTCAAAAACTAGTAGTGGTGATGTACACGTGGCCTTTAATTAGCCTTGTAATCTTGCAACAAAAAAAAATACAACACTGTAAGGTGGAGGTGTGTCTCTGCTCTAGTTTGCTGCACTTTTATAGCCTTTGAGACAAAGAGCAGAGGTATGGTGGGGCAGGTGTGAGGGGCAAGGTGATAATAAACATTTCTTTACAATTGCTATCGATCTTTCAGTAGATACTGTTGACAGAAGATGAAGATAACATCATGCACAACAGAATGAATGGCTCATGATGGTATTAAGTGTTCTTAGTCTTCCTTGTAGCTTTCTTTACACTTTGGACACTGCCTGCATTAATGGAGCACTGATTAAAAGCTTTGAGTACAGCTGCAAACTGCTGCAGATAAAGCACGAGCACTGTGAGCCTTATGTGAAGTATCCCACATACCTGCAGAGTTATGCAGGATGACACTGGGCTATATTTTTTGACGATGCTTTAGCTCTAATGTTAAATTTAATGAAACTGTGGAGTGGCCCACATCATTAGTGAAATGCTCTAGTCTCACAAGGCCTTAATCATGCACTTTTGAACATTTATGGAAGCACAGCCTAAAACTTTCACTGAAGGATCACCCTGCTGTCAAACTCCTTTTGAATTCCACGTAGAAATGTAGGGCAACAAGGACAGCAATATTAACGATATTACCCTTTCTCACATCTCTACCAACTCATCTAGCCTAAAAGAAAAGCTGTGTCTTTATCCTGCAAATCCTCCATGCACAAAATTTTCATTGCAGTCGATGATATCTGACTTAGCAATTGATTTTCTCATTATTGTTCCCATGTCAATTATTTCCCGAGTCTGAGTCTATCTGCATTGCAACGAGGAGCCTGACCTCAGTGCAAGTATTGCATGTTAGTTTTTAATCTAGTGAGCTGGAGTGTCCCTAACTGCTAAGGTGTGGCATCAGTAAGGGCATCAACCTTCCAACCACGTGCCCTGCACCTGTTGGAGTTTTCATCTCTCTTTGCATATTGAATTCTGATCACAGCATGGGCAGCACACACACAGTTCATGTGTCAAGTTTCTGGTGTGCTCCCCACGTAGATGCCTCAAAAATATCCCCTCCCATGATGCTCTGCGGCTGCTTTTCCTGCAGGACTCTGGGCTAATTTTGTCCCTGTCTGCTCATCCTTCCCTGAACAACTCAGTTCTTCAGAAATCTCAGGGCAGATAAGTCAAAAAGATTTACAGGGCACTTGGTATTTTTTGGGTGCAGCTGTGCAGACCTCATTTCAGTCTGTGTGTCTCATGTCCATGACACGGCCAGTACTAAGAGCACTGTCCCTAGTCCATGCCTGGGATACGCTTGCCCAGTAGTGAGCCAGATACAATTGCATGCCATTACATTTCCTTATTAGGATCCTTTTTCTGAAAAAAAGCCCTATATTTTGCTTTTCATTATATCACATGTCATATTATAAGGAAGTCCTTTAAAATAATAATAATTGAGAGCTAAATTCTTTGGTTGCTGATCACTACTGCTGTTATCTAGGAATGATGCAAGTACTTTTTCAGGCCTTGAAACATTACACTGCCGCTTCTGCCACCTGAGTTGATGTTTTTTACCAGGCTTTTGAGGATGTTACTCTTTATAGCTTTGAGAGAGAGGAGTTCTGCTAAGCTTGTGCTCTGACCTCCTGCCCTAGGCCAGGGACAGGAGGACTATGTCCTTCCACAGGGCAGAGGTCAGTGGGTCAGTGTCTGTTAATTTCAGTGACTGCTGTTAAACCATACCTCTAAAAGAGGAAAAAAGAAATTGAAAGCAAACATGACAAAATAGGAACAACTTCTTCCTACTACACTCAAAACACATACTCAGATGAATGCACATATTGTGCATGTGGGGATGGGGTGGAGGAGAAGACCAGAAACAACTTGATGCCGAGAGGCTTGAGCTAGCAACCACATCCTGAGCACCTCTGGGACTTTCCTGTCATGTGCTCCGTTCCTCATTTCCAGCATCTGTTCAGCAGCACCTGGCATCTGTGTTGCTTTCACATTTTGTTTTT